CCCCGCCGCTCCCTCCCCCCCTGCCTGTTGCCCCCGAAACTTCCGGCCCCCACCTGCGCCTTCCTCTTCTTGTAATTGTCCACATGCTCCACCCGCACCTTGCGGCCCGCCACCGTGGCGCCGTTCAGATTGTCGACGGCCAGCACCGTGCTGCGCTGGTCGTCGTACGCCAGGAATGCAAACCCCTTCGTCTTCCCTGTCGCCTTGTCGCGCGCAAGGTTGATATCCACGATCTCCCCATACTGCGCAAACACGGCCAGGATGTCGCCCTCTGTGAGCGCAAAATCGAGGCCACCGGCGAAGATGTAGGCGCTGTGCTTGAAGCGCGCGTGCCAGCTGGCGTCCTCGCCGAGGCCGAGGTCGTGCTCTCGCGCGGTGGCCTTGATGGTGTTCTTGATCTGGGTCAGCGGGTTCATGGCTGCGGCGCGGCGGGGGTCGAGGCGCTGGCGCGTGTGGGGACGGCGGCTGGGGCGCTTCAGATGGCCGCTGCCGCTGCTTCTGCTCCTGCTGCTGCTGCTGTTGCTGTGCTGCCGCAGCTGCTGTGGCTGATGATGCGCGCAATTGGGCGCGCTAGCTAGCTCGAGGGGCGTGCAAAATAAGTATACTATCAGCGAGACTGCATCATATGCGTCTGACGGACGTCATGGGCGCCTTGTAGTTGGATTGCAGATCAAGCCTACAGATCACGTACAGCAAAACGCAGATCAGAGGACTGCATGATCATCAGAGGGGTGTGGATACATGTAAATACTTTGATTTTTAATGGTCTTCTGAAAGCGATGCTGTTCTTCAATAGAATAATATCATACTCGCTTTGGGCTTTCCGTGTTCGTCAGGCCCCATGCATCTTCCAAAGTTCAGCTGGAATGTGATTACGACTTCGGTTCTGCATTTTCATGATCAATATACAGGGCCATCAGCGGGTCAGGGCAGGGTGTCACCCCGCTTTCATCCGGGTGACGTATTGGGGTCGGCGTCATCAGGCGAGAACCGCTGTCCAATCTCACACAGAAGTCGCAGCGCCTCCTCCGCACTGCCGAGCACCTGACCCTGGTTTGGGCCGTGTACCTCAAAGGCGCAGCTCATAGTTTGGTGGACAGCAATACGCTGCGGGAGCGAAAGCCGCAGGAGGGTTTGGTGCCGATGAGAGCTCCCCCTGCTGACGACCGCCTCCATCTCCCTGCTGCCGCGTTGGCCCAGCCGTCACTCGCGTGGCAGGTGCGGAGCGAGCCGTCCAGTGCCTCCCAATGGATGTTGATATCATCCCTAATGCACGGCGTTTGCTCACGCGGATGGGCTGGGAAAATCACCCTCGAGCATGGTTAATCAAACCGACATGCGCTCTGGGCGAGGCGCGGACCGCAAGCACGGCAAAGCTTCTCATAACAGGTACGCATTGCCGTGCAGATCCCTCTTCGTGGAATAGATTTACATAATGCGCTCCTGCGTTGGCAGCAGCAACAGTGTGGAGCGCACGGTTGCGGTCGCCATTGCGGGGGTCACACGCGCCGCCACAATTGCGCATACTCACATGAATGCGGCAGCTTGCAAGGATACGGCCATGTGGCATTTGCAGGGACCGACGCATGGGGCCCCGTTCATGCATTGGTACGCGATTGGCTGACACGGACATGCCTGAGGACAGGGGGCTGCCTGCGGTGTCACTCCGTCCTCGGGCGCCTCCATGCATCATGACGACGCACATAAAGTTCTGACAGCCACAGCATCGTAATGTAACCAGAGTGCAAGCGCCCGCCCCTGCCTGTGCCGTCGTGAGTTGTCCAGTGTGAAAGGCGGTCTCCAAGGCCCGATGGCGATGGCTGCAGGTTGTGCCTCAGGCAGGTCTGGCTGACAAAGCTGTTGTGTCTGTGGCAATCAACAACAATTTTGCCGTCGATCTGATTGTACAATGTGCGTGACTTCCTGCCTTTTTGTGGGTCAGGCACGGGGGCTCAGTGGTGATTGGTAATTACGCCCCAGCAAACCGGCCAAGCAAGACCTTGGTTGGATGTTGAAGCAGAGCAGTTCCAATTGACCAATCGATCACGGCATACGAGTGTAGGCTCGTCCAGCCACCTTTTCTTGCGCCAGCCGCGCTCCCTGAGCGCGAGCAAAGGCCGCCAAGCTGGCTCGGATACGAGAAAAGCCGAAACTTACATTGGATCAGGTGATGATGCCCCACAGCGGCGCAACAGTGGCTCTGGGGCGGGGGTCGACATTCAGCATCGACAAAATCGTTGCATTGGCTGACGCCACCACGTGAGGTGGGGCAGTTACCGCCTCCGCCCACGCCAGCCTCAAGACCCAGCAATTGTTCCCATCCCACCGCTTGTGCATCCACCCGCAGCTGATCGAGACCCTGCGCAAGCGCCAGGAGGCGTGCGTGCGGCTGCAGCATGACAACGCGCATCTGCTGCGCCGCGCCGCGGCGCTGGAGCTTGTCGCCGCTGCGGCGGCAGAGGTGATCCTGTCCCTGAGCGTCGCCGCCAGCGGGACTTGCGACCCGGTAGTCGCGGCGGCGGCTGCCGCCGCCGCAGCAGCAGCAGCCGGGGCCGAAGCAGCCTCGGTCAATGTCGCGAGCGAAGCACGCGGCTCTGGGGGTGCCGGCGTCGCGGGGCCTGCGGCTGCGCGCGATCATGCGCACGAGGGGCTGAGCGCGATGGCAGTGTCAGCGGCGGCTGACGCGGCGGTGGGGGCGGCGCTGCTCCCAAGGATTGGGCATGCGACTAGCGGAGTAGCAGAGGCTGGCCAGGACCAGCGGCAGCAGCAGCAGCAGCAGCAGCAGCAGCAGCAGCAGCAGCAGCAGCAGCAGCAGCAGCAGCAGCAGCAGCAGCAGCAGGACGAAGGGGTAACACTGACTGTCGACAAGAGCAGAGTGGCGCAAGGCAGCGATCCGGGCTCCTTCTCGCCTGCCCAGGACAGCGGAGCGTTCGGCGGCGCCACGCGGAGCGGCGGGGATGCGTCCCATGGCAGCAACAGCAGCGGGGGCGCAGCGGGCTGCCGCAGTGCAGGCGAGCGGCAGCAGCAGGAGCAGGGGCAGCAGCAGCAGCCTGAGGCCCTGCGGCCGCCGCAGCAGCGGCAGGAGGGGTGGCGGCACGAGATAGTAGCTGTTGGTGACTGCTCACATGGTGTAAAGCGCGGCCGGGAAGGCGGCGAGCAGCAGCAGCAGCAGCAGCAGAAATGGTGCAGCGCGTGTCCTGATGCAATGGAAATTGACAGGCCGCTCACTCGCGACACGTGTGAAGGCGTGCCGCCGTTGCTTCCGCTGTCGTTGCCAACGCCGACAGCGCCTCTGCAGCAGCAGCAGCAGGAGCAGCAGCAGGAGCAGCAGAAGCAGCAGCAGCACCCGAGCCCCCTGGCGCTGCTGCGGCTGCCCCGGGTGCTTGAGCTGTCGGCTTCGGTGCGCGCCCTCCTCGGATCGTGCGGCCCCGCCGCGGCCGCGGCGCTGGGGCCCCATCGTTTCGAGGCGCCCGAGGGGTGCCTCCACGCGCTCGATCTGATCTTGGACGCCACAAACATCGGGGCCGCGCTGCCCCTGTCTGCAGAGGGCGCGGTGCACGCTTACACCGCCTTCATCATGGTGGGCTTTGCCCCTCTCTCGCGCACTGCCGTGGTGCTGCCGCGCTGCAAGCTCGGCAGCTCAATTTGCGGGCGATGAGTTGAGGGATACGCTTCCGCCTAGCGTCCGCGCTAACGCCCCTCGTCCGGAACGGGAACGGCCGCCCCGCCGCAACGCGTGCACGGCGCCGCACGCCCAAACCACCTGCCCACCTGCCGGGGTCCTGGCGCCCGCAGGAGGCGCTGCTGCTGCAGACGCTGCTGGACCGAGACATCGAGATGGGGAGCCTGTGCGATCAGCTGTCTGGGATCCTGCAGGCCAACCTTGGATGGATCTACGCGGCATGGTGCGCGCCATGTGTGAATGTACCCGCCCAACGCATGTGCATTCGGCTGCATGGGTGGCCCGCCTGCCATGGCTTCACGAACTTGCCTCCCAGCTCGCGCCAGGCAACTGGGAGTGTGGGCCGAGCATGCGCGCCGGCTCGAAAGGGGCAGCTTCAAAAAACGCGCCGGCGCACTGCAAGTTGGTGACCCTGCTTTGTTGGCAAAACCTGTTGATTAGGCGCACGCAAACCTCACCCCCACTGTCCGCGCTGTGCTCCGCTCTGGCATGCGGCGGGCCCCAGGGTGTGGAACCCCCTGCCGGTCGTGCGCCTCTCCACCAGTAACCTGCTGAACCGCGGACGCGCAGCGCCGCCGCCGGCGAGCCACTGGGTTGAGTGCGTGCGCGCCCTACGGCCCAGCCGCCAACAGGTGCGCAGCCGCCTGGGCTCGAACGAGCTCGGCACGCCTCTGTGCGCCGCGCCGCTCTTGCCAGGCGCGGCGGCAGCACCGATGCGCTCGCCCCAGCTCCCTGCTTCCGCCGCTGCGGCACACCCTTGTGGCGCTGTGGATGTCCCAGCAGCAACCCTCATCGCCCTGAGCACTTAACGCGTTGCATGCGTGCATGCGCGCACGCGCACACACACGCACACACACTCACGCACACATACACACTCACGCACACGCACACACACACACACACATATGTAAATCTGCACGTATATGTGTATACATACAGCATCACACACAAACGATGTCACACAAAGTCTCCCTCTCCAAATGTATACGAAGCGTCAGTGTGTACAAAGCGTCACACGGACTCACTCATAATCACATGCACACAACACACTCGCACACCCCATCACCATGAAAAACCAGCTGCTCTACCTGGGAGAGCTGCGCCGCATCGTGCGCAAGCAGCAGCAGCGCCTGGTGCGCTCCTGGGTTGCGGCCGCGGCCCGGCTCAGCGCCGCGGTGGCGGCGGGCAGCTGGGCCGGCATGCAAGCCGCGCTGGGCGGCTTGGACAGCGTCCTGAGGCGCTGGCAGGTGGTCGGCACTGTGCAGGTGGGTGCGCCTGCGCTTTGAAGCGTGCATCGCGCACGCCAGCTTGCTGCTGGCTGCACGGGAGCGGGATCGAGAGGTTCCATGCGCAAAGCGCAAGCACGCGCGACTGCAATTACGCGTGTGTGTGTCGCAGCTGCACCCACTGACCCACGCATTCAAGAGCTTCGCGCGCACACCCCTCCCTCTCACATCCCCCCCACTCACCCGGCCCCGACCCCCGCCCGCCCTTTTGAACCCCTCGCCCCAGGCCGTCGCATGGGTCGGCTGCGTCACGCCGCAGCAGATGGTGCGGCTGTGCGTGCGCGCGTTCCCGTTTGCGCCTACGGGGGACGAGCTGCTCGACCACCTCATGCTGGCCAGCGAGGCCGCGGGCGCCGCCGACGCGGCCGAAGCTCGCGGCGCTGCCCCCCATGCGTGGCCCGACGGCGCGTACGGCGGCCTGCCGTCGGCGTGACAGGCGGCTGGACAGGACACGCGGCTGCCGGCGGGCCGAGAGGCTTTTGGCGGCGGCGGCGGCAGCAGCGGCGGGGGCTCTCCAGGCGGGAGGAGGTGTTGCCAGCGGTGGGCGCCGGCCTGAGGCGGTCGAGCCCTTCGTCCAAAGGCGGTGTGCGCCGCGACCGGCCACGCACAGCAGCGCAGCCGCACCCAGACGAATGCTCGGATCCCTGATGCGCCGCCGCGGCGGCCTAGGAATGCCACGCGGCGGCGGCGGCTGCGGGACCGGGCCTGGGTCAGCCGAGCCGCGTCACACGGGGTGGCGGGTTCGCCTCTCCCCCATCCTGTCATCAAAACCCGCGCGACCTCGAGGCGCATTGCACCCGTAGTACGTACCGGTAAGCGCAAGCATTGGCACAAGGCACCTGACATGTTCCAAAGTGCCGACATGCAAGTTGCCGCCTCCTTCCTTGGACGCGTCCTCCTCGAGGCCCCATCCCATTTGGGATGGCGCGAAGCCTCACAAACACTTGCCCCCTTGAAGCTGTGGCCCCCAGCACGGCTCAGCGACCCCAATATGCTCTGCGGTCCATCTGTTACTGCCCGGCCTCCTGCGTCTGCTTTTCCCATGCGCGTTGCTGACACTCGGCCGCGGCGGCGGCCTGCCACTCGCAAATTTTGACACTGGGCATGCTCCGGAGCATGGCCGGCCCCAAGGCCCGGCCCTCTCATCCAATTTGCCACGCCGCCTTGTGTCCGTCCGGTTCGCCATCACGAGCCAGTTGGGCGCCGGCGCGGCTTCGCCCCGCGTCGGCTGGGCTTGCTACCAGGGTTGGGCGGAGGAACTCTTGGTCTGCTGCTGATGATGATGGTTATGACAAGCAAAAAACGATGCATGTTGATTGCGCCAGGGTTTGTTTTGGAAATTCCTGCCGCTTTTCTTGGGTCTCAGGCTGCTGGGATCCTCCCCTCTCTGCTGCTGTGGCGGGCGAAGTTACGACACACACTGCTGCACAAAGCTACGACATACATTGCTGCGGGGTCAACCAACCTGTTGCTCTCCCTCTATCTATCTGGCGCCCCGAACAGCCCTTCACGTGCGGCCAATCATACAACTGGGCGCACGTGCGCGGCGCCCCAGCATGTTGCATGGCGCCCAATCAGGCGCCAGCGAACTCCAGGTGGGCCACCTTGCCCCAGCCTCGCAAGATTTGCCTGTGCGCGCCCACCTTGCGGGCAGCGCACTTCGCGCGCGCTCGTGCGGGCCAGCCTGGGGGAGGCGGGCCGCACTGCAGCGCGGCGACCAGCGGCCGCGGGACAAGTGGAATTCTAGGGGGCGCCTCTCGTGACCGTCGCCCTCTGCTGTTCGCCCCTCTTATGCGATCGACCGTTTCTTAGCGGCGCCTCTGCGTCATCTCTGCTTCAATTCAATTCGCTACCACGAAACAATGCCATGAATGCAATCAGCGGGCGTGTGAGGGTGCTGTGAATTAATACACATGTGCGCGTGCGCGTGCGCGCTTGTGTGTGTGTGTGTGTGTGTGTGTGTGTGTGTGTGTGTGTGTGTGTGTGTGTGTGTGTGTGTGTTTCATGTGAGTGCGTGCGCCCATGCTCACGTTTCAGAGTGTGAGTGTGGGCACTAGCACGCGCCTGCGGCCTTTGCACCTGACCCATTAGCCAAGGCACCTCGCCACTTGTGTGCCCCATCTGTCCAGAAACCAACGGCTGCAGTCTCGATTTCATTCAAGTCATCCATTGGGGTGGTCAGAAATTCTTGATACACGCCATGGTAACATGCGCGCATATGGCATTCCCTAGCATCTTTCACGCAGGGCACAGCACAGGGCGCGGGCGCAAGCGCCACATACAAAGACGTGCCTTCAAAAAAGATGTGTGACCAGCATGGAGGCCAACAAAGGGAACGCGGGTGCAGCGGAGCTCCTGGCTCAAGATGCAAGGCCCCGCACCTGCAACTCCGTAACAGCCAGGGCCCTCACGGCTGCGGCCCACCGCCGTTCTCGTCCAGCACGCCGCCAGCTGCCGCCCCCGCCTCGCGCGCCGCCGCCTCCGCCCTCGGCCGCTTAGCGGCTGCGGCGGCCGCCTCGGCGCCGGCCTTGTGCTGCTGCTGCTGCTGCGGCGGCGGCGGCGACGGCCGCTGCACGTTGGAGTTGGATCCCGCGCCAAAGCCGACGGTCGTCGCGCCGCCGCCCCCCATCAGATCCGCGAGCGAACGCTTCCCAGCGCCCGGCCGCGCCGGCCCCGCC